GCCCACATTGGAGTACAGTGGCATGATCATAGCTCACTGCAACCTCCAACTCCTGGGCTCGAGGGATCCTTCCATCTCAGCCTTCTAAGTAGCTGGGACTACAGGTGTGCACCACCTAGCTAATTTTTTTTATTTTTTGTAGAGACAAGGTCTTCCTATGTTGCCCAAGGCTGCATGGGCGCCCCCTTTTTTTTTTTTTTTGAGACAGAGTCTCACTTTGTTGCCCACGCTAGAGTGAGTGCCGTGGCATCAGCCTAGCTCACAGCAACCTCAAACTCCTGGGCTCAAGCAATCCTGCTGCCTCAGCCTCCCAAGTAGCTGGGACTATAGGCATGCGCCACCATGCCCAGCTCATTTTTTCTATATGTATTAGTTGGCCAATTAATTTCTTTCTATTTATAGTAGAGACAGGGTCTTGCTCTTGCTCAGGCTGGTTTCAAACTCCTGACCTTGAGCAATCCGCCCGCCTCGGCCTCCCAGAGTGCTGGGATTACAGAGTGCTAGGATTACAAGCGTGAGCCACCGCGCCCAGCCTGCATGGCCTTCTTATATGGGCACTAGTCATTGGATTTGGGGCCTACCCCAATAGTATGACCTCATAACTAATTACATCTGCAAAGACCCTATTTCCAAATAAGGTCACATTTTGAGGTTCCAGGTGGACATGAATTTTGGAGGGACACCATTCAATTCAGTACAATAGGTAAAACTAGGTTTAGTATTATTTTAATATTCAGCTCTTATTGAATCACACACACCACACAACTACAACAGCCCAGAAATGCTGATAAACAACGGGGCATCTTTGCCGCAGACTAGCTTATGGATACGCTTGCTGGTTGGGCTGAGTCTGGGAATGTGCCCCACCTGAGGCAGGTGATCAAATGAGCACGTTCTGCCCCTGTGCCCTGAGCTTGTCATCACACACTGTAGAATTACTCTGTGAGAATGTTCTCTGCTTTATTACCAGCACACTGCTCTCAAATAGTTGGGGAAAATGTCATGTAAGTGGCCACCTTCAATCCCCAGAGTCATCCTTTACATGATATTGAAATCATTAAGAGTCTTAGAATAGCCTCTATTTGGGTTCAGGTCTTGACCCCCAGGCCTTTACCACCTTTGGCAGGTCATAATTTTTCTAGGCCTCGACTTCATCTTCATGAAGATATGCCTCAGGTAGATCAAATGGGACAATTCCTAGGGTCTCTCCTATCTTTGAATGGGTTTCCTGACCTGAATATTCCCCCATCAGAGAAGATTCTGGATGATCCAGGTCTGGTTAAATTATATCAGGCTACAGGCAAAAGATGGCAGGTAGGTGAGTCACTTACCTACCCAGGCCAAGAAGCTCCCCAAACACAAAACAGGACTGCTCTATGCCTGCTCAGCACTTCCTAGCTCTTCTCTCCTGTTCCTAGCCAGGCTGCAGTTTCCGAGGTTTCTTACAGCCATGAGCACTAACCAAGAGCCTGGCATCAGCATCCTATTCTGCTGTCACTCCCTCCCGCTTTCCAATCCAATTGCCCCACAGCCCACTGGAGTGAGATTTTTATAACAAAAGACAGAGCTTGTTGCTCCCTTGCTAAAGAAATTTTCAGTATCTACTCACTATAATTTTGGTGAAATCTCGATTATTCACTGTGCCTCACTAGGTCCTGAATAATCCGGTCCTCTCTATCACCTTCAGGTCTCAGCTCCTGTGTGGCTTGCCTCCACCACTCCTGGCTATTCCCTTTCCTTGCACTATTCCTGAGTCCCTGGCCCAGCCCCTAATCGCACAGAATGGCACTTATAGTATCTCCCCCGCAGTAGTTCAAGCCCCACGTGCTATTTTACCAGCAAGTGCCCTGTTAGCACAATGCCTCAACCACAGTGGCCACCCAAATGTTTGTTGAATGAATGACCAGACTACACTCCTCAAACTCCTCTTTTTTCACATTCCTATTGCGCCAGCCTTCCGGCAGAATCATCTGGTTTTCTGGGTCCTTAGCATCTATGTCTCTCTGCCAGCACTTTTTTCCACGTGCCAGAATCTGTGACTCTGCTAACTGCATTACGACCCCTTTAATACTCACAAAAACCCCATGCAGTAGGGATACTTCTATTGTCCCCATTTTACAGATAAGCAAACTGAAGTTCTGCAAGGCCAAGTGCCTTGCCCTTGGTCCACATAGCTAGAACTGTAGAGTCAGGATCCAAACCCACCGAGTAAGCACCTTATAAACCAAACTCATCAGAGTGAAACTCTGGCAGGAGATGGCAGCTTACCAAAAAACACTAAGGCAGAATGGAGACTAGACCCTGAGGTGGCCAGTGGCTTAAGACGCCTAAGCCAGTGTTTTTCCCCCAGCTGCTTCCCCATGGCCAAGTCAGTTAGCTCTCCTCTGTATGATTTAAAAATGAAATTGTTGGCTGGGTGTGGTGGCTCATGCCTGTAATCCTAGCACTCTGGGAGGCAGAGGCAGGAGGATCGCTTGAGGTCAGGAGTTCGAGACTAGACTGAGCAAGAGCGAGACCCCTGTCTCTACTAAAAATAGAAATTAGCTGGACAACTAAAAATATATAGAAACAAAGTTAGCCGGGCACGGTGGTGCATGCCTGTAATCCCAGCTACTCGGGAGGCTGAGGCAGGAGGATTGCTTGAGCCCAGGAGTTTGAGGTTGCTGTGAGCTAGGCTGACACCTCGGCACTCTAGCCCGGGTAACAGTGTGAGACTGTCTCAAAAAAAAAAAAAAAAAAAGAATGGAATTGTTGGCTTAGAAGCCAAAGTTGAAGGGAACATCTCCAACTCTGGCTCAAATTTTGAAAACCAGAATTCTTTGGAAGTTAATGGAAAACTCAAAATAGCACAGTCTGCCCTTCAGGTGTTTGCAGAGGGCTTTGAAGTGGTCTCAAATAACTGACAGTGAAGATCAGGTAGTTAACAAAGCATGCAATGCAGAAGCAGGTCTCAAGGACAATTTACATTTATTTGCTGATGATTCTGAATAAACATACTTCAAACAGCAGAAGTTAAAGAGTCTGTTTGTTATGTGAAGCCACTTCTTGCCAACAGCTAAAGGTGGTCTGTGTGAAGTAACTTGAACATCATCTTCAAGCTGAGGCCCCTGCCCTGGTCAAACAGCTGGTGGGTCCTTCTGGTCCTTCTGGCCTGGATGGGGGCCTCCGAGGAACTACTCCTTGTTTTCATACTTGTGCTTGATGTGTTTCCACAGCTTCTGCATTTTAAAGACAAGAACCACAAACGTTGACCTTTGCCTCTCACATTTTACAATGACTCCCAGTGCCCTGGTCTCTGAAATTTAGCGTGAGAGAACACGTGCCAAGTCCTGATTAAAAACATACAGTTGTGGTTGGCAAGCTGGAAGCAATTGCTAGGCTAGACACACAACTCTTTTTTTTTTTTTTAATTCTAAATTTTATTTTTATTTATTTATTTTTTTCTGCCAAAGGTTAATCTGCTTCACCAGGATAGACACACAACTCTTAACATTTATAAAATACCTTGATACTCTCAATCACTGTGTGAAGTAAGTGGGAAGGGATGATGGTTAATTTTACAGGAAATTGAGGAAACTGCCCCAAAGCACATTATTATTAAGGACCAGAGCCTGGAAGATAGATGTCTCAGTTCTTCAACTCCCAGGTTATTCAAGAGGTACTAAGTGCACAGGCCCCAAATATTTCACATTGAGGCTTTTTTTTTTTTTAATTTCCTGGGACCTAAATTGGTTTGGAATTCTCATTCCTAAGAGCACAGGCAAATGAGTGAGTCATGACAACACACTTAGATGCCTTTCCAGGTCATTGGGAATGGCCAGTGGATATGGGGCAGTGACACCATTTTCATATGGGCAGGAAGTTTCCCTGGCCACAGGCAGTACATAATCAGCAGAGAGAGCCTTCCTTGGGTGTAGAGTCAGACAGCCTCAAGTTAAAAACTCAAGGGAGTGGTGGAACAGGGCTGTCTGTATAAGGCATTTCCCAGTATGGCCACAATTTGATGATATAAAGCATAAACAGAACCTAGCACAGTGCCTGAGACACAGTTAAGTGTAAAATCTGTTGCTATTCCTTACCTTAGACTTCCACTTTCTCCTGAGGAAAGTAACAAATGTTATTTTTCAGTAGTACCACTTACCAGGCACAGAGGCACCTTGCCTGTATCTCATAATCCTCACAATTACTCCCTCAGGTAACTCCTGTTATCTCCATTTCACAGAACAAACTGAAGCTCAGAAGTTAAGAAACTTGCCCAATTTAATGCCAGTTATTAACTGACAAGGTCCAGTATTCCCAACCAAGGCTCCCTGATTTCACGGTACCCACCCGTAACCATCAATACCTAGCTGCTTGCCTGGGAAGCCCTGGGAACCGGAAGCGCCGTCTGAAAAGGTCAGCTAGGTGCCTAAGGTCTTTTTCAGGTCCGTTGCCTGCTCACATCTGACCCTGAAACCCTCAGACAGGCGTCCGGGTTCCCCCCCTGATTTACCACTGACTTCCTGGAGGTGTGACCCTAGTAAGTCCTTTGCTCTCATTAGGCTTTAGTTTTCGCTTCGAAAATGGACAAGTGGGTATGTCGGGTGGGACACATCAATACTTACAACCCCGCTAAGTGGGACCTATTGACCCGTTAACGTTTTAGGAGTCACACCGGGCCGAGAGGACAGACAGCAGTCTGGAGACAAAAGACGCCCACGGTTTACCCGCTTCCTGGTAAAGGTAGACTGAGTCCCGTCCCACCTCCACTCCCACTGTCACCCCTCAGGCGGGCCCAAGGTCAGGGGTTGCCCAGGCCCTCACCCCCTCGTTGATGTGCTCGTAGATCGCATCCGCCCCTTGATCGAAGGCACGCTCGAAGAACAGGGCGCCTACGGCGATGGTGAGGGCGAAGGTGGACGTCCTGCGGAACAGCAGGGAGTACAACTTTGCAGTAAACGTCGGGCCTGCCATGTTTCTTCACTGCCGAACCCGCACCACTGCGCCTGCGCCGAGGCCAACCGCGCTCTCCACAGGCCCCCACCGGGCAACGCTTTATGGGATTTGTAGTTCCTCTGGATCTCAGCCCTCATCGTTTTGAAAGGCGGAGGTAACTTCTGGCTTGTGCAGGAGAAAAAAAACTCATAAGATTCATATCAGGACATATAGATAATTTTATAAGTTTTATTACTTAATTTTTCTTCTCAATCTTTTAGGGATGTTCGACTATTGCAAACTACAACTCCCAGAAGCCCTCGCGCCCCTCCACCTCTTCCCGCCCTATCTCGGCTTGGATTCCTAAAGCTTTCTGGGAAGGGGGAGGGGACTGACACCCAAAGAAGAACTACGAATCCCAGCAAGCAGTGCGCGACACGGGGCGGTGGTGGCGGAGGAGGAGCCCGGAGCGACCCAACCTCGCGGAGCCAGGTATCTTCTTTGGCCGGACCTCCAGGTCGAGTGTAGTTTCTTTCTCCCCTACAAGAAGACTTGGGCTCTTCCTTCTAAGTCCATGCGCCCGTGGCGGGACGCACTTTTTCTTGGGGTAGGGATTAGATAGAGGGGATCTGGGCTCCCCGACCCTGGCTGGTCTCTCCGCCTTGTCTCCTCTGCCAGCCTCAGGTCCAGGCCAAGAATTTGGAGCCTGTGGCAAAAGGTGGCCTCAGAGGAAGGGACGGTTCTGCCTGTGCTTCCTGTTGTTCCTTTCACCTTTGGGCTTCGCAGCCGAGAACCCTGGCCTGGAAGGCGGGACACCTATACTACTCATTCCTTTTTAGGAATAGAAATAGCAAGGGCTGTGGAGTACCAAGGGCATTCAACAAATGTTTTCTGAGCGCCTCTCTGGGCACTGCGATGGGAGTCCAGCGGTGAACAAGTCCCTGCTCTCATGGAGCGCTCAGTCTACTGCGGTGCGCTGTGGGGAGGTGCAGTACAACAAGCAGTGCTTTGAAAAACCGAAGACAGGTTAATTGGGGAGGCAGAGAGTGGTGCTATTGTAGCCTGGGTGGCTGCTCCGAGGCTGACTACTAGAGACCAGAATGAACAGTAGCGGATCAAACTGGACAACATTGGTGCAAAGGCCTTGAGGTGGCTGCAGTCCTGGGATATTTGAGGGAAAGAAGTAGAGTGGATTATGAATGGTTGACTCTGCGTCAGCTCAGGTCTGGCCTCGAGACCTATAGCAAAGAATCTTATTTTTTCTAACTGCACTAGGAAGCCACTTAAGAGTTTTAAGCAGAGATGTGGCAAGATCTAATTTACATTTTAATGTCATCGTTCTGGCTGCTCTCTGGATAATGGACTGAAAAGGGGAAGTGACTATGGTGGATCAGTTGAGGGTGGATGGGAATTTAGATTAGGGTGTGGATTAGTGATCAGATCTGAGATGTATTTTGGGAGACAGGGCAGACAGAACCAGCTTGGCAGATGCAGGTAGGGCGTGCGAGAAAGAGGAATGAAAGACATCTAAATTTTGACTACAACAACTGAAAATCAACAGGAATGATCCTAAATTGTTATTATTATTTTAGTAGAGATGGGTGTCTCACTGTTCCTCAGGCTGGTCTCGATCTCCTGAGCTCAATCGATCCTCCTGCCTCAGCCTCCCAAATTGCTAGGATTACAGGCGTGAGCCACGACCACTGAGCCCTAAATTCTGTTTTGGCCGCGTTCAGTTTGAGCTGCCCCTTAGACATCAAGTAGAGATGATATCCCAAGGCAAATGAGGATGTGGGTCTGAGATAAGAGTCAACAGGATAGGGGTGGCATTTGAACCCAGGGACTGGATTCCAGGCCTGGCTCTGCCTCTGATGCTATGTGACCTTGATCAGGCTCCCACTCTCTGGGCCATATTAAAATAGTCATCTGTAAAGAGTAACAGTAATGTCTGATTAGGGGACTAGAAGGAAAAATGTGAAATGCTGTATGTCCATTATGAGTTATGCCTTACTGTGGTCATTTACTATTATTGCAAAGCATCCTTGGTAGCCCCTTAGGGCAGGAAGTTGTGAGGCTTCAGGGAAATACTGCTTAGGTTTTGCTAATTGTCCCCAACAAGTCTGGCTGATGAGAAGAAGTTCAAGCTGAGGGAATCATTTTAGGTGGATGAGTAGGGAAGACCACAGGTGTGGCTTGTTTTATTTTTTCTATTTTTTATTTATTTTTTATCTTTTAATTCTCACTTTGGGCTTGGCAAGGTGGCTCATGCCTGTAATCCTAGCATTGCGGGAGGCCGAGGCTGAAGGATCACTTGAGGCAAGGAGTTTGGAGATCAGCCTGAGCACAAGCGAGAACTGTCTCTACAAAAAAAAATAGAAAAATTAGCCGGGCATGGTGGCATAAGCCAGTAGTCCCAGCTACTCGGGAAGCTGAGGCAGGAGAGTCGCTTGAGCCCAGGAGTTTGAGGTTGCAGTGAGCTGTGATGACGCCATTGCACTCTAGCCCAGGCAACATAGTGAAACAGTATCTCAAAAAAAAAAGTCTCACTTTGGAGTAATAATTTTAAAAACCTAATTTTCTTTAAACCATTGATTTCAACATAGGAATTGCTATTCTATACATAAACCTAGGAAAATAAGAAAAATGACCTTAACTTTTTTTTCCTTGATTAATGTTTGAACTCAAGTTGAACAGACTAAATTCCTTTAAACACTCAGCCCTATGTACAGTTTAATTACGTTCTCTTACATATTTTAACTCCATTTATAAATTTAATATATTTGATTTTCTTTTTAAGTACTTCAGATGCATAACCTAACAAGCATAATTTCCCCAGAATACCTAAACAGTTACTAGAAAATCAATTAAATTTATAAACATAATTTCAAGTTTTTATAAACAATTGCTTTTACAGACTTAGTCAAATTCTCTTATGTCAGTGGCTCTCAGTCTGGGGACCTGAAAACAACAAAACAAAACAGGCTCCATCTCTGACATGAAATCAGAATATGAGGGGCACCTCATAACTTTCACAGCACCACCATACCCAGTTAATTTTTTAATTTTTTGTAGAAACATAGTCTCACTGTGTTGCCCAGGCTGGTCTTGAACTAGCCTCAAACGATCCTCCCACGTAAGCCTCCCAAAGGGCTGGGATTACAGGTGAGCTACTGTGCCCGGCCTAACTATATATTTTAACTTTTATATTTTAAATTGGAATCACAATGCTTATCTGTCAGATACTCGCCGTATCAAATTCTTTGACTGTTACAGATGCTTTTAAATATAATGCCAGTGTACACTGATTATGACTAAACTTAGGACAGGAGCATTAATACAGTGATTTGATGTACTCTTCTACCTCTGTTTTCAATTCTAAACTTTCCTGGAGTGCGGCAGGGCACTTATCCAGTAAGAAACAGTTTTGTCTACTCTAATAAATTGCGCTTTGCATCAAGTTGGGGTTCCCATTTCAGCAAGCTGAGGTTATTCATAATTGGACTGATTTAGACTGAAACATTAATCCAGGGAGCTGTGTCTACCTGGAATGACTGTCCCCAGCGGAGGCTGCCCTTGGGATTCAGGGGGAAGTTCATTTCTTCCAGGTTTTTGTTTCTTAGGGCAGCGGTCCCCAACCTTTTTAGTACCAGGGATGGGTTTCATGGAAGGCAGTTTTTCCATGGGTGAGGGGGTGGGGGGAGATGGGGGAGGGGGGAGGCGGAGCTTCAGCAATGTTCAAGCAATGGGGAGGGGCTGTAAACACAGATGAAGCTTCCACTCTTGGTCTCACTCACCTCCTGCTGTGTGGCCTGCTTCCTAACAGGCCATCTGGGGTTTGGGGACTGTAATCTTAGGGGGTACTTACTGGGGAATGCTAGAATTGCTGGTTAAAATGCAGATTTCTGAGTCCCCCTCCAGATCTGCTAAGTCAGGATTTCTGGGGACCTGACTCAGGAAACTTCACTTTTTTTTTTGAGACAGAGTCTCACTTTGTTGCCCAGGCTAGAGTGAGTGCTGTGGCGTCAGCCTAGCTCACAGCAACCTCAGTCTCCTGGGCTTAAGCGATCCTACTGCCTCAGCCTCCCCAGTAGCTGGGACTACAGGCATGCACCACCATGCCCAGCTAATTTTTTTTTTCTATATATATTAATTGGCCAATTAATTTCTTTCTATTTATAGTAGAGACGGGGTCTTGCTCTTGCTCAGTCTGGTTTTGAACTCCTGACCTTGAGCAATCCACCCGCCTCAGCCTCCCAGAGTGCTAGGATTACAGGCGTGAGCCACCGCGCCCGGCCTGAAACTTCACTTTTAATAAGGTTCCCACTTGGGAGCCGTGGAAAATTTTGAGCAGGGGTGTCTTAAGAGGGTTAATCCTGATGCTGCCCAGGATGTGGTGAACTGAGGAGGCCATGTCCAGATGTGAGGAGTTGAGATCTGGCTTGGGCAGCAGGGATGGTAGAGAGAGGGTCAGATGGCATTTGGAGTCCACACTGGGGACAGAAGGAAGGGGAAGGCAGAGGCAGTTCTGAGTCTAAGTATCTGGTTCAGGAAACTCATTCAGACTATTTTTACCTTTCTTATTTGGAAACTATGGCCTCCTGGGACCTGTAACTATCTGATGAGAACTGTGTCTCCAGCCTGCAGTCCTCGGAGCCCAGATTTGGGCTCAGCCGACCTCCACTGGGCCTTGAGCTGTGCCTAGCCAGGTCTGATTGGAATCAGGGTTTGCCTCATCAGTCTCAGTCAGGGGCCGAGGGAAATGTCAGCTCTGTCCCTTTGAGCCACCACCTCGAGCTGGTTCATCCGGTGAACCAGGTCCCTGCAACCCTGCATGGCTGCCTGCTGAGGGAAAAGAAATAGAATTCATCCCTGCCTGACAAATCTCCCACTTTTTTGAAGGGAATTTTTGGGGGAAATTTTTTTTAAATAATACACGATAAATGTAGAGGCTTACAAAAACAGAAAAACGTAAAATGAAATCTGCATAGTCCTATTATCCAGATGTGACTATAGTAAATATCCTATGTCTACTCTGGTTGTTTTTTTTTTGTGTGTGTGTGTGTGTGTGTGTGTGTGTGTGTGTGTAGAGGGGAAAACTCCTTCGCCTTAAAAAAGTGGTATCAGGCCGGGCGTGGTGGCTCACGCCTGTAATCCTAGCACTCTGGGAGGCCAAGGTGGGAGGATTGCTTGAGCTCAGGAGTTCGAGACCAGCCAGAGCAAAAGGGAGACACCGTCTCTACTATAAATAGAAAGAAATTAGCCAAACAACTACAAAAAAAAAATAGAAAAAAAATTAGCCGGGCATGGTGGCACATGCCTGTAGTCCCAGCTACTTGGGAGGCTGAGGCAGGAGGATTGCTTGAGCCCAGGAGTTTGAGGTTGCTGTGAGCTAGGCTGACACCATAGCACTCTAGCCTGGGCAACACAGTGAGACTCTGTCTCAAAAGAAAAAGAAAAAAAAAGTGGTATCATATTGTACATACTATTGTGAT